CTGTTTTAATAAGGGCAACACAGGACATCTGCTTGACCTCACATTCACTGGTCTTGTCTTAGATATATTTTTATTATGATAAAATAGCACTCATGTCAAAATGCCTAAGTATCACAGTAATAAATATATAATAAATACTTATATCTAGACTGAACCTTGGCATATATAAGATATCATCTCATGATTTATGTAAGTTTTTAAAAAAGTGTTGGCTGATAGCCAGTCATAGGAATGCACAAGATATTTATCACAGAGCATATAAGAAAGAAAAAGAAAGGAAGAAAGCAAGAGAACAAGCGAGCCAGCAAGAAAGAAAAAGAAAGCGAGTGAGATATAACAAGAACAAGATAATCCAGAGAAGTAATTAATTCAAATTTTATTTCCTTAAAGTTATCAGTTTTCTTTCTCATGTCTCCTTTCTTAATACTTAGCACACTGTATTACTGTTTTTGTTTGTTTGTTTTGAGATGGAATTTCGCTCTTGTGGCCCAGGCTGGAGCGCCATGGTAGAATCTCGGCTCACTGCAACCTCTGCCTCCCAGGTTCAAGCTATTCTCCTGCCTCAGCCTCCCGAGTAGCTGGGATTACAGGCGTGCACCACCATACCTGGCTAAGTTTCTGTATTTTTAGTAGAGATGAGGTTTCTCCATGTTAGTCAGGCTAGTCTCAAACTCCCCACTTCGGCTTATCTGCCCACCTCGGCCTCCCAGAGTGCTGGGATTATAGGCGTGAGCCACTGTGCCGGGCCTGTATTACTGTTTATTTGAATATTTCAATCCCTGCTCCACAACCTGTAAGCTCCATGAGGATACCGAAGGCTGTTTTCCTAGTGCTTAAAACTGTGTCTGCACACAGCATTTAATGATTTGTTTAATGCATACATACATAGTTTAATAATTCATTAAGGTAAGTACTAAACAAAGTATAAATTTTCTTAAAATTTCTGCTCTTATGGATGTAATGGAATGAATATGAAAAACAGACATTAAAAAGTATTAATATTCTAGTTAAAATAGAAACTGTTAGGCATGAATTACTGCAATTCTCTTAATACTATAACAGAGAAATAAAGAATAATGTTGTCAAGGGGATGGGCCATGGCAGAGATCTATGTCAAATTACCTCACAACAAAAATGCCTGAAGAGATTTTGAAAAATTTCTATATATCATTCAAATAGTGAAGTAACTAGAGATTTGCCCTTTTATTTTTTTAGGCAATGCTTAGAATACTTCTTTAAAATCATCAATATTCCTAAACAACTGGTATATAGTCTGTTTTAATCAATCACAGTTTTATTTCACCAGAAAAAAATCCTGTGGTAATATTTAAACTTGAAATGGGCTCAGGAGAAAATTACCAATACCTTATTACTTTTTGTTTGCTATTTTGTATTTGAGGGAAGTTCTACTTTAGAAACTTTTTCCCTCCACTGAGAAAAACAAGGTGTACTGGCAAAAGCATCAGTCTTCTCTTGATGCTGGTATAAAGAAACTCTTAATTTTTTGAAAAGGTTCTTCCATGGTACTTGGGAAAAATGATATAAATGAATGTGTAATGACATCATTGCACAAAATATTAATACCATATATTAGCAATTGAAATTGTTTAATGCATTTCTGATTTGTAGATGTCTCAGAAAACAAAAGATCAAATGTTGTAAGCCCTGATTTTTTTATGATTAAACTTCTAAAATAGTTTCAGTGAAAAATAGAATATTCAAGCTATGAGCAGAGATAAATCATTCTGACAGGGTTTCCTCTCCAGCCTAGCACTCTTCTTTCTGACTCTCCCCATTAGTTACTGGCAGACATATCAGTATAAATACTATAAAAGCCCATTCCAGGGATATTTCTGCTAAGCCCTTGAACACATACACCATAACTATAAGAGGCAAATAATCTTACGACACACAAATATCCCACAAATATCCAAAATATGACATTAAAGTATAAGGCAAGATGTAGGTAAATTATTTTGTATGATTAATAACAGTTACAATATATATTTACACTGAACATGAATATTTTATAAACATATTAAAATAATAGCAAGATATGAAAAACTCTTTCAAATTTAATAAGTCAATCACTGCATCACCTATGCCCCTAAAACTATAGCTTTGCTTCTAATTCTTCAGAAGATTATTAGTAACTCAAACACATTACTACAAATTTTATACCAGGAAGCCCATCATATTTAATTTGATACAGGTTTAGAAATAATCCTACTTATATTTTCTTGTTCCCACTTCATTTTTTGTTTCTCTAAATTCCTCAAAAAAGAACCATAAAAAGGAAATAAAAGAAGACATATTTAAATATGTCATTTGCATGTCGACATTTTCATGTGTGCCTGTATTTCCTGCTATAAGTATCTCAAGTGTAAGGACCATCGCTCCAATTTGAATGGGTTTCATGAAGGTTCATCCACGGAAATGGGGGAAAGTGACAAAATTTCTGTAGTGATTTCTTACTAATGGGCATTCTAAATGGTTAAATCAAGTATGTAGCAATATATTATACAGAAACATGTTAGCTTTGGGCATCTAAGTTATGAATCTGACCCAATGTGAAATAAATATCCTTGTCACCTCACGGGAGCAGGTGAATACTAGCCCTTCACTTCTTAAGGGTTCTATTGTGATTATTTCAGAGTAAGGCACGGGTTTGATATTTTCTTTAATAAGCTTCCTCTCTGTCCCCTTAGACAACTGAGGGCAGGTAAAATATTTTCAAAATCTGGAGAATACCCAATGTGCATATGCCAACTTGATTAAACATATGGAATACATACTTGGAGAAAAGCCAACTGGCGACCTGCTTGAGTCATCTAAACACCCAAGCTGAGAGAGGTTAACGTATAAAGATCAGCTTTGGACTTTGAAGTTTTCTGTTCTTCATTTTGCCTAATTAAGACAAGATTTAATAATCAAACCACTGTACAAACATGTACCTAAAAGTATAGGTTTGTTTCTAATTTGGGGAAGAATTCTTAACAGACTCAAAGGAATCAGCTCCACATGGGAAAAGGTCTCTGATAAGATTTGCTTTTCTCATTGCTAAAATGCAAATGCCTGCTTTTCATCTGAGTTTTATCCAGTGTGACTGAGGTTAGCATCCGCCTGTCAAAATCTCGAGTTTGATACTGAAAAGGAAAGATTCTGATATTAGCATACCATCTGAATCTGAAACGGTGGCAATTAGTTAATAAAAAACTGTATTCCAAAATATTCTTAAAGGTATTCATAGAAACCATTTGTAGATCACAATGTCAAATGGAGTAATTTACCTACTTTACCATAGTAGAATATGTACATCCATGTGTTTCTAGGAAATAGAACTAAGCATGGCAGAAAAGCCCATCTACTATCTAATACTGGTTTTATAAACAAACCTAATTCCAGATCGAAACACTATAAGGCAAAAAATAAGATCCCTAATCTTCCCTCCCACATACATTTCTTGCCCTAAACAGTGGACAATTTTTCAAGAATACCTAATAATTTTAAGTTGTGCCGAAAGGCCACAAAACAAATAAACAAACCTAACTCTACCATAACATAGAAAACATATGCAGAGTCACATACAAGTCAAGGAGTATTATGCCATTAGTCAGAGAAGGAAATTGACTCTCTCCTGATGATACTGATTTGATATAAAATAATTTGATATGAAATAATTTGCTAAATTTAGAGAAGTGCTACAGCAATAAAGTAGGCATTACCTAATGACACATAAAGGGTCTGCAATGTATCCTAAAAGGTTAGAGAGAGAGTTGCCCCTGCCAGCCACCCCATCTCTAGCACCCCAATCCCACACATACTTTTGCTACTTTGAGAGTAGCAAAGGGCTAGTCTGGAAAAATTTCTGTTCAGAAGCATGGTATCCAATCTATGCTTCCTTCATGGCTCTGCCCTTGTTACCATGGAGGCCAAAAGAAGAGAAAAACTCCAGCAACACTTGCCCTAAAACCAGCACGTGATGAAGATCCCTCTCCCCTACTGCCATTATAAAGATGATTAGGCGTCTGCCCGTGAGAGTTTATTTTGTTTTGTTTTGTTTGTTTCTTATATCATGGTACAACAAAGTTATTACTAAGCCAGGTTTTAGCTATCCATTTATCAGTAAACAAACTATCAGTTTGCAATATAATGCCTCTCATGCCTCTGTAACATACTTGTAGATGATACAGCACAAAGGCAAGGGAATAGAATCTTAATATTCAGGACCTTAATATTTTCCAGGAATTTTCCAGGAATGAGAAGATGGTGCTTTTTTAAGCCTACCACAGCAAAGAGTAGTGGAAAAACTGTCCAGACCAGGTTCTTTAATATCATTTTGCTTACAAATTCATAGAAAGTCCTTTACTGGCCGGTTTGATATTATGCTGCAATCACTGTTTCTTTGTAGTTGCCTCAGCAGGAGAGCTCCTAAGGATGTGGTATGGTACAGACATCCGCTGTCCATTTTAGCAACATTAAGACTTCCAGGAAGAAATGATCACAAGTTTCTGAGAAACTACTCCAAACGCTTATTGGAATGAAGTGGGGCATATGCAAAGTAAATGTAACATAGATGCATACAAGTTGCTGAGAAGTGCCTTACTGGCTAACCTTGGCCTATCTGCCATCACCTGTACAAACTTTTTGACATGTCAACGCACCACATTCAAGTCTGCCTCAAATCTTTTCTGCAACACTAAAAAATGAGGCTCCACATATATAGGCCTATATGGGGTTGTGTACCAAAATAGATACCTGATCATAAAAGATCTTGCAAATGTATCATCTCAATTTTGTACAAATGTCTCATGAACATAATGGTGGTTAAAACACTGATATTGTGATGCTGTCCTTGAGCCAAGAGAGCAGGCTTAGGATGATCACATCCTTTTTGCTGTGACTCCCATCAACATTCCTCTTATACACCCATATCAGTGAAGAGATCCCCAATTTCCAAACCAGCGGTTAGAACATTTTGACTTGGCTTGGAGGCTTACTTTGTTCATGTGGATTTGCTGCTGGTATTGCTTCTGCTTCTCCAAGAATTGCTGGTGTTGCTGTTGAATGACCAGCTGAGCCAACGTGCTCTGAGGCAAAGGTGCAGACTGGGTTCGGTTCAGGGGTCTGTGACGGGGCAATTTGTGGGTACCTCTAATGCCAGGTGAAATTCTCTCTTTTGTTGCCAAGGGAGACTGAGGATGTAAGGGAACGCCACCTGAAAAAAAAAAAAAAATACATGTATATGTGTGTATACACACACACACATACACACACACACACGCACAATTTTAAGAAAAGATTAAGAAGCCAAAGAAAACAGATATATGGTATAAACTATAAGAAAATTAGTGAATTAGTCATGCTACCAGGCAAACAACAGAAGGTGTGGTCAAAAGGTCAGGTGTGGGAAGAGAGAAATGTCAGGGCATTGGACAGGTACACATCTGACCATACAACTCACCAGTCTAGTCTGGTATGAATAAAGGTTAAATGAGGTGAGTCCTCCTACCCCAGTTGGATCTGAAGGAATAAATAGAGGTGATAGCCTTTCCCACAGTACCAGGTATCAGGGAGACTTTTGTATAGCACTGTGGATCTCTATCAGGGTCTTAAGTAAAAGAGATATTATCCTGGATCACTAATAAAATAAAATCCTAAAATGATCCGCAAAAGGTCCATAATGAATTACCAGCTACAAGTAGCTTTTGCTGTCGCATTTGTTCTTTCAATAATAGATGCTGCAGGAGAGCCTGGTGGCTGCTGTTGGGCGGCTTTCCCTCTAAAGTAACATGAGGGTGGCTGGAAGACGTCGGGATGCTGCCCCCGTACTGCCCAGGCAGAGGAACACCTTGCCTAAGCGTCTGCGTCTCACACTTCTGCTTTTCTTTGAGTGAATTCGAAGCCTGTGTCGAGAAATAACAAAGATGTTAATCCTCTTTCATCCATGTGGGTCACTGGGTCTCTACATCATTAGACAAGTTTCCTATGCCGTAGCTTCCCAAAACAAAAGCCCCATCTTACCCAATGGCTGAGCAGGGAAAATGGACCTTTTCAACTAACTCAACTCAATAAAGAAGAAATAAAAATAGGGTTGGAGCACTGAAGACGATTTAATATTGTCATTGTATTGAACATAAAAAGTTTTTTAAATTAAAGTCAGAAGTGATGCTACGTACACAATTTTAGGTGGAAAGAATAAATTCAAGAGATCTATTGTACATGATGACTACAGTTAATAACAATATATTGTACATGTGAAAATTTCTGAGAGAATAGATTTTCAGTGTTCTCACCATAAAAAATAAGTATGTGAGACAATGCATATGTTAATTAGCTTAAGTCACTCTACAATGTATACATATATCAAATCATTATGTTGTAAACCACAAATTATGTACCTTTTATGTCAATAAAAAAAAAACAAAAAAATGCTTATTTCAGGCTTAATAAGTGGAAAGTATATTTCTAAAATATTTTATACACTGTTTAAGTTAAAGGCATACCAGAAAGGTAAAATTTATTCAAAGACTATATCATGGGGATTAAGAAGCTGGAGATAAGATGGACTGTAATTTTAGAGCTGCAAGCAAAAGGAACAATTTACCCTTTCTCTACATGGCTTCTAATAATTTCACAGAGCTGTAAGTGTCCAGTGTTTAATTCTAAAAATTAAATTCTTAAAATAACCCAATGAAAGGAGGTAAAAATATGCAGAAATTTGATTTAAACAGTTTATATTAATTCATAACAGATCCCCAAATCTCTAAATATTGAAAATGACATTCCAGATATTTTGTATAATAAACTACAAGTGAAATAAGATATCAAATAAAAATGCTATTAAGAACTTGAAATATATGATAACACAGTAATAAGGCAATAATAATTATATCATCAATAGCAATAATGAATTATCCTATTCAAATGATTTAATGAATGGTGGTCATTTTGCTATTACAAAAGCAGGACTCTAATACCTCAAAATTATGTGGCATGTTTCTTTTCAAAACTCAAGTTTCATCTTTCAAAATTGCTGTGCACCAGGGAGGCGAAGCAATTTTCAGCGATGGAGAAATTGAAGGACAAAGAGGTAAGTGGTTTGTCTGAGTCACACAGCAAGTCAATGCAATGTTTAATCTAGAAGTGATTCCTTGTCCTGGCCTCTTTTCCTTAAAATTTCCCAGTATTCAGTGGAGAAATGGAATACTAGAGATCCCGTTGGCAAAGCAATGCTAAACTTGAAAAATTAATTGTGATGGCCTCATCCACACCAAAATGGAAGCAAAGAAAAATGAAACTTTAATCCAAACCACATTGGTTTATTCATCCAATGGTACCAAATCGTATTACCTTTGAAAGATTAAATGGTCTGGCTTTAGTACTTGGTCCTTTGGGAAAAAATTTTCCTTGACCACATTAAAAGTGGTACATGTGTGAGTTATTGAGAGGAGTGGCTTAGAACATACAAAAATAAGTAAAAATAAAATGCCTATTCATGTGTCATAAGAAGTTTTTGGGTTGGTATTTACTTACCGTTAGAAAAGATAGGAAATAGAAACAGAAGGGAAAATAATTTTTAATTAGTGATAACTGTAAAATATTATCTGTGAATATTTATTTTTAGTTTCATTCCTAATTCCTTTTTTGTTTTTCATTTCATTTACAAAGGTTTCATGTGGAATTTTAAGAGCATAGCTGAATTCAGTATTTTCAATGCTCTCTTTTATAATCCCCAGATATAAGACGACATCCAAATTTTGTTTTTTCCTCATTGGTATAAGAACACAGTACCACATAAAATGACATTATAGTCTATTGACAATACCAGATATAATAAGATATCTCTTAGCTTGATTTTAAAATACATATTGAAACTATGTACTGAGCATACATGTGAACTTGACACATTCAACTCAGTGGAAGACTTGAAGGTAAGGATTGGCCAAATTGGTGATGAGAGTTGGAATAAATTTTTCTCTAAACCTAATGTATCATATGACCCCTGTATGCATACAATTTAATTACCATTTCAGAGATGAATTATCCTGGATAAGACCCACACATTTTTTACAACTAAAACTGATACGGTTTTAGGGAATATGCATAGAATAATTATTGCTATCTTCTGCTAGTATGACAATAACATTTCAAGTTTAGCACTGCTTTGGCAAAGAGATCTCTAGTATTCCATTTTCTCTGCTGAGTACTAGGACATTTTAAGGCAAAGAGGCCAGGACAAGGAATGACTTCTAGGCCTCCATGTAACAGTATGATACAGTGACTGCTTTCTTCCCGAAAGAACCTATTTCAGTTGTCAGGACTTTTAAACTAATTGATTCACTTTGAATCTTCTGGGAATAGTTTAATATTTTTCTTAGAGGTTTTCCAGACACATATTCGTCAGTACCAGAGAGTCAGTAACTTAAATTCCCAAAATAAAGTCATTCACAAAATAAATTCTATAAACATATGCTACTGTGCTTTCGAAGCTGTACCTCTCAGCACTGCCCTGGCTTGTGTTCCAGGTCTGCCACTTACTGGCTCTGTGCTCTTGTGCTTTGAAACTCTCCAAGTCTCAGCTTCTCCTTCTGTAAAAATGTGGGCTGTAATCTCTGTTTCACAGGATGGCTGTGTGGAGCTATTAAAATAATATATCTGGAAAGTGCTTTTTTAAAAGCTATAAACCATTATACAAATGTTAGTTATTATGTTTACATATGATTATGTGAAACCAGGATAATTCTGATTTGAAATTAGACTGAATGTCTTTGAACAACACAGCAAATAGCAAACAGTGAAGGAGATGCTGGCTCTGTCAAGTTTTTCTAAATCTAAATATATAAAACATGAAAGAGAGTTCCCCTATGAAGAGATACTGCTTGGGTTGATTTAGGCTGATGCTGTGCAATGACTTACATTGAGCTGGGATGGCACTGCAGGAAGCCCCAAGGTAATGTTGGGCAAAGAAGGAGAGGTATAAAGACTTAGCAGGTTCATGGAATCTTCGTGAATTAGAATGCGTTGCTGTGAAACCATTTGCTGTTAAAAAAAAGAGGAGAGTCTCAAAATACCACAGTATCACAAATTTTACTGTAAAATGTTCTCATTTCAGAAAATGGGCCTTACCATAATTAAGAAAAGATTTTAAGTATTTATTTCATGACTTCTGTATCCAAAAGTTATAATGTAAAATTTAAATAAAAAATTTCTTCCTAAGACATAGTTATCAAATCTGAATAAAAGGCATCTATGTTCATTTTTTGCAAATTCATTTATAAAATTCTGGCTATACAAAATACGGTCAGCGTGTTTGTCATCTGCTGATAAAGTACAATGATAAAATTGCATAATTCTGATTAGTATGTCTACTTCTTTTGTATTACTCAGTGAAAAAAAAAATGTATATAATGCCAACACAGTCATTATCTTCATCTGATTCTTCATTTAATGTCATTTTATTGATGGGAAAACTGACCCAAGAAAAATCTTAGATGAAATATCACCATATATGTCTTCCATAGTAATCACATCTTTTTTACTATAAACATTTATGAATAGACAATTCTGTGTGGTGTATTTTTAGATCATTCATATTCAGAAACTAAAGTAAATGTTAAAATGTTACGAGTCCTATGCCACAATAGCCTTCATTTACACTGAAATACCCTGAATGTTTTGGCATCACTGTGCTTTTTACAACAAATACCTTTTTTAATCCATTACTAAGAGTCATGTTTTCCCACATGTGGCCTAATATGGTTGCTTGAATTACATTTTCTGTTTAACTCTTGTTTCCCTCCCAGAAGTTTTATACAATAAGAGTTACAAAGGTCTTATTAGACCAAGGAACTCTGGCCTGATATGGTCCCCAAGGGAACAACATCCCTGAAAAAGAATACTCCATGTAACAGTATGACACAGTGACTGCTTTCTTCCCAAACAAAAAGCATATGGGACTCCAATAATAGACCACCTCCAAGAGGGATATTGCACACACGGGCTTTGACTAAAGTAAATATAATAACTTGTCAAGCATGTTTGGGGGAGCTGTAGATTTTCCCCTGGACAAACCTGGGATATCAATTAACTGGGGAAAATATCATGTGCTAATACAATGCAACCTCAGAATGTCACTGAAGAGTGATGCACCACCAAAACACAGGATGTTATTCCAAAACATCATCTCAATCATACGTTTGTTTGGAGATGAGTCCTAGTCTTAACATAATAAGAGCACAGGGTTAAATGTGGAGTTTTCTCATTGCAACTTGGAACTCAAAGCTAGTTCAGATTTTGTTACTTCTCAAAGGAACATGTCAGATATTTGTGCATGAAAATCAAGAGGTATGTTGATAGCAATAACATTACATTGACTTTATATGCAGCCTTTTAAAAAATTAGATGTCTAAGTGACATAGCATGAAGATTATTGGGAAAGATTTTAAAATTACAATGTGTGAGACTGCAATTTTATTTTATGAGCTATCAGACAGAGTTGCATACTTGCTATAAACAAAAAGGCAAGCTACTCTTTTACTCATATAAATAATAAGCTTTTCATGAAAACTTTAAGTATAGAATACATACCTGAACAAGAACAAAAGGAACATATAAGGAAGCAAAAATATTTTAACTAGCTTATTGGCAGTAAATAGTGATTTAAAATAAAAGGATATGTTATTCACTTATCTGTATTCATTGGAGAGAAAATAAGTGTGGAAAAATATGCATCTTAAATAGTGCATAATATTCATTCAAGGTTGTATCTGCTTCTCACAGCACTGAGATACGGACTAGGGGATTTGACATGGACTGGGAGAATGGCACAAAAAATACCATGGACCTCACAAAAGAGTTTTTTCTTTGTTTCCCAGAGAGAATTTCTGTGATATCCTCCCACCTCATCACAGGAACCAGAATTAAACTAAAATGAGAAATAGATATCTTCTCAGACGTAATAATGGCAGCAACACACTGGCTCCTCACACTGGCTTTGACTAAAGTGAAGAGATGTGGGGACAGTCTTACTCTGGGATTGCAGATCTTTGTAGTTTCCTATAAAACTTGAGTGGCTCCATTTCCTCTGGCAGTGTACTGATAATCCGCACCTACCATGGTGCCCTGGGCCAGAAATTTTGTAGGTTAACCTGTTCTTCACAGGCACTCTCAAGCTACCATTATGCTCATGCTGTCAATGAGGAAACTGAGTCATTTCCCCAATTTTGCTTCCATGTGGGACCAGCAACAAAACCTTTAAACTGACCAAGGCTATGAGATTTGTTGACAGCTGCTGCTACAGGGAGTACGAATCTGCAGCCACTGCTGGAAGACAGGGGAACCAGAGAAAAGTAGGGAGAATGCTGGTAGCTTTGGAGGAGAAGAGGAGCAAACTCAGGCTCTGAGGCTCATGGCAGGAATAAAAGAGTGCAATTGGGAGTCTGGGGACTTGGGCACAAGAAGAAAGCTCCAGTGACTTTATAAATGTCAGGATGTTCAAGTCATGGAGACAATTCTTGATGAAGCAAGGACGATTCTGTGTTCCCCACATCTGTTAGGTATAGTTGGTTCTTCCCAAGGACTCTTAACCGGTATGTCGTTTCATAGAAACTTTAGGGACCCGGACATTGCTTAGCTTATCTCCTTGGATTACAGATAAGGAAACAGGCACAGCATCTAGGTAGACTTTCAAGGTCTAGAATTACTTCAGAGAATTGAAAAACCATTTCCCTCGAATTATTTTCTTTAAATACAGCTTTCCTCAACTATGCTTTTTGATCGCAGCAGTCTATCTGTTCCACGTTTATCTCTTAATAAGACCTGGAGCCATAGTCTACACTGCTAACTGAGTACAGACACACTTGAAAGTCATACTAACAGATTGGGAGGGGTACCATTCACCTGACACAATGAAAGATCCTGACCAGCATTCTTGCAAGGCAGGAAGACCATCCCACCTTAGCATTGTGGTGAGCTCACAAGTGTTTTCAGGCAAAGCCAGGATTTTTCCAAGAAACAGTTTTGAATCTGGCCCAGCCCTTAAATCAGTGCTTTGCTATGATGCCAATACTTCGCCATTTAGAACATGGGAATGACGGTTTTAATCTGAAAATTTTTCAGAACCAAAATTTTTTATTGTGGTTAGATAAAATGAAAATAGTAAATGTATGAATGGCTATTGTTTAACCTTCACAAAACAATTAATGAGTAACTTCTCTGTGTTAGATTAATGGTGTTGGGTGCTAGGCGTACAAAGATGTCCTATAAAATACCAATTCATGTGGTAATTAGCTGCACAGAAAAGTAAAGAGCTAACTCTTTGACTTGTGATAATTACTGTAATTAGAGGAAGGAGCATTATGTTAGGACGTGAGATATGAAATGGGCCAAGTGCTGGGGTAGGGGTGGCCTACTCACATTTTACTAAGGCTTTTCAAAATCTTATTTAATTTCTCTCCTGTTATGTCAATAGGAGGGGCATCTCATATATAATATTTGTAATTCAAATGAATACAAAACACATAGACTGAAACATTATGTCTCTCAATAGAACTATTTATGTGGAATTGAAATTAAGCCACTGACTTAAATTAAAAGACTCAGAATCTCTTCCAAAAGGGACACTGGCTAAAATTAGAAAAATGGACAATGTCAAATGTTACAGGGATTTAGAAAGGTAAAAACTCTCATGTATTCCTGGTGGGACAGTAGTCTGGTACAGCAATTCTGTTGAACTATAAACCAAAATAATTATACTATATACCATATGACCCAGTGATGGCTCTGCTGGGAATTCTAACTTCGAGAAATTCTCTCATTAAGCTGTAGGATGATAGGACATGGTATATATTGAAGGGCACCAGGACATCTACCTCGGGAATCAGTGTGTGGCAGCACCCACCATGGATTTTTATGGTGATTGAAAGCACACCATTAGATTTCTGCATCCATAAAGACACGGTGTCTGGATCTAAAATCACATGCTTAGTGATAAAAGCAAGAAAATGGAATGATGCAGATAACATTGTGCCATTTATATCCCATGAAAACTCATGGATGCAAAGTAAAAAATATATATAGTGAAAAAATTTGTATAAACAAGAACACAGGAGAGAATGATGCCTACGGGAGCAAGGAAAATGAAAGTGGGGAAAGGAGATGGAAAGAAAGAACCAAGGAAGGAGGGAGGGAGGCAGGAAAAAAAGGAGGAAGGGAAAGAGAGGAAGATAAACAAATACTTTTCTTAATCTTAAGAAGACAAAAAAGTCAATGATAGCCCTTGACAGAATGCTAGTTATACTAGTTATGTAAATAATTACCTACTTTTCCTTTTTTTTTTTTTTGACAGGATCTTGCTCTGTTGCTCAGGCTGGTGTGCAGTGGTGTGATCAAGGCCCACTGTAACTTCAAACTTTTAGGCTCAAACTCCCGGCTAATGTTTGTTAGGTTTGTGGGTTTTTTTTTTTTTTTTTCTTTTTTTCCTGTAGAGACAGGGTCTTTCTATGTTACCCAGGCTGGTCTTTAAACTCCAGGCCTCAAGTTATCCTCCTACCTCAGCCTCCCAAAGTGCTGAGATTATAGGTGTGAGCCCCCATGCCCGGCCAATAATCACTCACATTTTAAAAAGCTCAGAAAATGTGGATATAGAATTTTCAGTTTACTGTATGTTCCAAATTATGTACAATATGCATGAGAATCAGAAAAAGAAAAAATATATATATACACACAGAATTTTGGTGAGGAGCAGCCTGGACTTGTGAAACGAAGTCTGGTCTAAGTGTCTTATACTTGAGCTCTCCCACTCATGGCTTGTAACCCTGGGCAGCACCCAGCTTCCCCGGACTTCAGAACCTTCAGCCTGAGACTGAAGCACCTCTGCCCAGCTCTATCAGGTAACATGTGAGTCTATTGGAACGGCATACAGGAAGACATGCTTATGAGTGTCAACCAGCTTTGGCTTTACAAGGTCCCAAGTCCCTGAATCCAGACTATATAAAAAGAATATAGCCACGTTTTAAAAAAGAAAAGCCTCTTAATCATTTAATATTTGCCTATGGTTTTCATGGGATTTTTCAAGATTGTGTTTATTTTCTACTATTCTTTCAGATAGCTCATAGAAAATTAAAATCTCCATGTAGTTAAAAAAATGGTTCAAGCAGTAGAATCTCTCAAGTTTCCATTTTACTGGACACCCAAGAAGGTGTTACTATAAAATGGTGAGACATATTGTGAGACCAAAAAACAAAAAAACAAAAAAAAAAAGAAAAATCATTTGACAGAGTTTGCTTAGCATTTGAAAGGCACTGATGTTTTGTTAAAGATCTTGCTTTAAAATATTGACTCATGTTATTCCTAGTAAATGATTATTTTGTCATAGCAACCTCCTTTCCCTGAGTCGGGGGTGGGGGGAACATGTTTTATTTGCTGCTATCTAAAACCACAGCTCTACACCCACTCAGAAGGGAGCATAACATTTACAGCAAATGTCACAACAACTATTATGAAACAACAGGCAGATGAGTCATGTGAGATTGGGGCAAAACAAGTGACATTACAGATGATTTTAGAACACTTAACCTTATTATTAGAATCCTTTTTTAAAAGCATTTGTATCTGCTGGAAAGTTTATTTTAAAAAATAGCATAGCAGAGACAGCCACTAATGTTCAACTAGAAATAAACCAGCAGCTTGGCTACCGTTAAAATAGCTATCAAATAAATCTACTGAATCTAAAGTAATAGTGTTGATATCCATGGAAACATATTTGAACCCACAGGCCCACAGTATTAACAATAAAGTAACTAGATAGGTAAAGACATCTTTGACTGGAGTTGGAAATAGAAACCCTTGAGGTTTCAGCTCCCCAACCAAGTTTACAAATGAGTAAAGCAAGTAGCTCCAACAATCTGAGTTCTGGGACTGAGCATATGTAGGAAATAGAAGAAATGGAACAGAAGTGGTCAGAGCAGATGGAGACTCACTCTCACATGAGAGCTGCTGGCTTGAAGACAAACATGCTAATGAGTTTTCCCTACCAGGAGTCAGCGTTGATAATAACAACAAAAAGTGAACTTGTTCCGAACTTCATAATTTACCACCTGCCTCCCAAACACTGATTCCTTAGAACAAAGCTGCTAGTGTAGGTATTACGGTACTCCCTTCTCCTAGATCAGGAATCTGAGGGTCAGGGGAAGTTGTTTGACCAATGACGATAAGGTAGCTGGTTTTGGAGCCAGGTTCAGGCCGAGTCTTCTGAATGGAACACCCATACATTCCACTACAATGTGCTATTCTCTGAACCTCAATTTATGAGTAAATTCTCCTCCTACTTCTGTCTTCCCTTTATCTAAATTAGGCAGGACATGTGAATTACAAGACAGAAAATTTTGTTTTCATCTAGGGCTCAAGATCTTTAGATACAGCCGGACTTTCCTACTTCTGAAGCAGCACAATAGGATAGAATCCCATTCATTTACATGGGCTCTGAAACAATGAGGTGACATGCTTTTCTACTTACAGGCCATGAAATAAAGACTTCATTCAAATATACACTATTTTAATATGAAAACTCACCAGTGTTCCTTAAGCCAAAATAGTAGAATAAACCTATTTTGTAAATGGTAAAGTATGCAATCATTTTTTTAGAGTGCAATATATTATGCAAATAATTCATGCCCCCAAAATATTTGTTGCTATGAAGTCCCGTACTACTATTAATCTTGGGAGACATCTGTAAAAATCATCCTAAATTCTAAATGATGGTTACTCAAGTATGGCTGAGAAATTTTTTTTCTCTTTTCTCCAGTTTGGGTGGAAACATTTAGTGCTAAAAAGCTACGATATTAACTTGCTGACAGTCTCAGTCTAAATTCCGCTGTCTCCTCACCTATCGAGAATGAATTACACTACAGATCTCTGTAAATGCAATACAGCAGAAAACCACATGTTAGTCATCAGGGTTGCGTTTTTTGTTCTGGGCCACAGAGAGGCTACTCATCAGTGCATAAAGGTCTGCCCACCTGGCCTTTTGGATCATAGTTCAGGCATACAATTAATTCATTATGAGGTAAGTCACTGCTTGCTTTTGAACTCGTCTTTCCAGATTTGGAGGTGAATGTCCTGTCACTGACCTGAAGAAATACCTCTACCCTTTTAAACTCCATTAAATCACATTTCCTTCTGTTTTGTTTTGTTTTTCTTTTTTTAATGGTGGGGGTGAAAGGAAAGGTTTGCGGTGAGAGAATATGTTCAACAATTAGCTGAAAACCTAGGGTACCTAAACAGATGATTTGTGGCAACTTATGGCTTTAGAAATATAAAATAAATTAAAACAGTATAAGCAAAATCTTGTATTTACATTCTTCACCAATGTATACTTCTTGGTTGTTCCAATATGTTGTACTAAATACTATATGGACATATATATGTATTTATAATGAAGGAATATATGTATCTTGTTTGGTAACTATCAAATCATGTTTTCCCCCTTCTTCCTTTCTGAAAGGTAATCATCATGCTAAATTTTGTGTTCATCACTCTCTTGCCTCTTAAAAATATACTATTATGACGTATTATCAAACAAAGTACTGTATTACCGTTTCTGAACCTAGTAAAATGCTCCCTTGTTGTAAGTGGTTTTCTGAAACACTGCAATGACAAAGCATTTCTCGGAACCAAACATGCTGCTGAGTGTAGTCTAGTGTGTTGTTTTCATTTTTCAATGGCACAAAATCCACTCAGGGACTGATTAGAACCCAGATCCTTTGGTGTTTTTGTAATTACTAAGAATTAAATTCTTCATACTGAGAGATAATGACAATCTAAAGTTTTTTGGAAAAAAAAATTGTAAACAAGTTGTTCTTTTCCTGGAAATTTACTAAATAGTTGCAGAGAATGGACCAATATCCAAGTATAACTGCACTAACAAAAAGATGCTATCTACAACTAATAATCCAATAACTCTACGTATGTCTCTGGTTACAAATATAAACAAAGTATTTATTCCATCTGCTATCATGTTTTTGAAAGGATAATGAAAAAGAGAAAGAGGGGTAACAGGATAGTAAGTAAGAAATAGATGTGGGACTGCAGACCATGTAGACCATGTAGAGGCCAGAATTACTATTCTTTAAATAGCTGAAAATGGTCATAAACGACAGCATCTAGATATTTTGCTCATGTTCCTTGGAAACTTATTTGAGGGAAATTTTTGAAATCTAGAAGGAAGGTATATTCCCTTGGGGAGGGGGCAGTTTCTTTGCTTTGTGCAGACTCCCAATGTGCGAACTACAAATGTGGGGCCATGATAAGTTAACAGCTTGAGGTTATGTGATCTGAGCTACAAATCTACACAAGGACTAGCTTGTTGTTAAGACTTCTGAGAGAGAGGATCTGCCCTCTGCTCTGCTCCACATCAGACAGCCCAGGGCAGGGGGGTCGGGGCGGGCGGGGGTGCGGACAGAGCAGTCAGAGGGGCAGTCAACTCACCAATGTAACATAGATATGGGCCTCTGGGGTGTCGGCTTAGTGTTTGCAGGGTCTCCTATTAGACTATCCTCCTTGGTTGGTACTAGGCTTTATCTTCTATCTCTTGAGTTTCTGAGGCCCTGAAAACCAAAGCTGAAAACTCAAGTATGCAAATGTGCCTAGAGCAAAACTGACTTTGCTGGCTTCAGTCCTTTGCTCATCAGAAACAACTTCTGGATTTCTGCCTTCATATATTCTGACCTGATAATTTCATAACTTATAAATAATTTATTATACATATGTATGTTTGTGTTTGTGTGTATAAAACATATGAAATTACACAGCAACAGCTGTACAGAGACATTTCTATCAGTCAAAATAACTATTTAAAATCAACTGGGCTGCCTCAGGAGACAGTGAAGTGAGCTCCCTATAAGCAGAAGCATTCTAACAGAGGCTGGATAATCACATGGCAGAAAAGCTATGGAGATGATCCAAGAATAAGAGACTTGACCAGTCCCTTTCTGTCTCAAGGTACCATGACTCTATAAAATATAAAGAAAGAAGCATATTATATATCAGAAGTTAACACACCAGCTCTCCTTGTACAGAGCAATGCACAGTGAAAAAGGCATAATAACAGAAACAAAAATAAGGCTTTCAGTCAATTGTTGATGACTTCAAAACAGGTGATTTCATGAGTGGCTATTTTCAGACTCTTGCCTTTGATAGCCAAATACAGAAACTACATAGACAAATTCTTGATGACTTTTATATGAGCTTTCCTCTTAGTCTTGTATCATTGGTTACACTAAATCATGTGTTACATTAAACTAGTATCCTTTAATATGTCATCTTCAAACATAGAGTTCATAGAGTTCATATCTTGCCCATGTTTATATCCCTACTGTGAGGCAAAATGACTTGAATATAGCAGGTGCCCAAAACATGTTTGCTCAGTGAAGCTTTATACCCTTCAACTATCATACTGCAATGATTTTTCATCACTTTTCAGTTCAAATGGATAAAATCCACCTCACTAGGTTCTTCTTCTGAGAGGCCTGTAGGAGTTGGTTTTACTTACTGATGTGTCTACTCACATCGGCATAACCAATAACCAAGCAGAGGGACTAGTAAGTGACATAATTGTCAGGCAGTGTGCACTGAGGATCACTAAAAATGTTTGACTGAGGATTACATTTCAATATTCTTCAAGCCTGGATTGCCTTCCAAACATCTCTGGTTATCTGATTTATAAATAAGATCAAGTTTACTGAATTCTACACATTAAAAAAATCTGTAATAAAAAATTGATATTTATGTCAGCTAATAAACATCAATTCATTTCTTACAGGTTTATAATATTTACATTAGTTAGTAAATACCAATTTTTTTCAATTGGTTTACAATATGTGGAACTGAGTAAACTTCAATTCATAAATATCATTTGGATATTAAAGGCCAACTCAGAAATATCACTTTGTATTAGGTAGCTAATCAGAAATTCAATTTTTAAAAGAAACAAAATAAAAAGGGTCTTACCTCAGCATGAGGGGTAGGGGGCAAAACTGAAGTCTCATTTTCAGTAACACTTCCAGTTGGCCCGTTGTTTGGTGAACTGGGACCAGAGCCTGGAGAACTGCTACTGACTGAGGATTCTGAAAAATATTGTGAAGTACAAATGTATTCATGAGGAACATACATTGATGAACTTTAGTTAGTGCAACATGTAACACTGGGCATGTTATTTTCCCCCGATGTAAATGCAAGCACTATTCCATGAAATAGAAAGAACTAAAAATTTCTGAAGTATCTCTGAATTTTCATACCACTTATTCTCCCTTTGTTTTCATGGCAAAACATACAACATAGTATTCAACAGTTTCTAAATAAGTAAAGATATCCAGTTAGAGAGGGTCACAGGAGCTTTGAATGAGAAAAAAAAAGAAGAAGGTAATCTTTTCTTACTTGCTCTTATGCTATTGTAGAAAATAACAGTAATGAAGATAATAAACTTGTGAACATCAAAAGACAGGTCGTTAACACATGAGGTCCAGACCCATTCCAATAGGTCTGAAAAAAATTGTTCAAATGCTGTGCTGTAAATTGATTTTTATTTAATATATTAAGGCTGTACCTTATTATACTGTATACTAGTTAAAGTTATATGAAGAAAATACAATAGAATGTAAAATCTCAACATTGGACTGATGACCTTGTACAACACCATCTGACTTTAACTCTACTCAACTTATTTTCCAGGAGATGAGAAGTTGCCTAAATTTAACATGTAGGTTTTTAAATACCAATATAACAAGAAATTCCTTTTAGCAAAAGTCAGGCAACAAGAAGACAGATTCTTTATTTAACTTACCCTTTCCTCTTCAGATACAAAATTCACATGTACCTCAACTTATGCAGAAACTAATGCATTTGTTAAAACATTTAATTGAAAATATAAATTTCCATTTCCTAGAAATATAGCTAGAGAAGTCATCTTATCAAGTTTTGGCAAATTATTTATTCAGCTCTAATTAATTCCCTACCACCTTCTACAGTTCACTCATTTCAAAATTTTCCTAGTTGCCTCATCATTACACCTTATCAACCCAATGCTGCACAAATGATCTTGCTTTTCAGAGACAGGACTTTTGATATGATTTCCACCAGCATCTTTTCTTTCTACTCATGATTATGTTAGCTACATTCTGTTTTCCCATTTCAAATATAAGGCTTCCTCTCTAATGTTCACACATTTAGTCTTACCCATTATCCCATCCCCTTAAAAAAGTACTAAAAGGATTAGTTAGGTGGAATCTTCACGCTCTCCTCCTACACTGGAATTGCCCCTCTAGTCTGACGGCGTGCTAGTAATTCTTGAGAAGTGGTGTGCTCTCACAATGTCCACTTACTTCTTCAAGACCTGGCAATATAGCTTACCCACTATAACTGCAACTGTTCTCTCAAATGCCACCACACTTGAAGGCCTCTGAGAAAACATTCCTTTCCATATCCTTTCTACAGTGGCATTCTCTACATCCATGTTGTCTTTCCATCTCTTTGACTTTTCTTCCTCCTACCAATTCCTAAATTCAGACATTCACCTAAGTTTGTGGCTTTATCTCTTTTCTATTTCCCTTGTCAAAATCACTCAATATCATGATTTCATATGTCATTTTGGGGCAGAATTATCTCAGGAAAGTCATATTTCTTGCCTTTAACTCATAAATTCCAGCCCAAATTCCTCTGAAAGCTGAACATTTCAAGCTCCCCTACATATGTGTAAAACTCAATGTATACATTTTAATATTAACTGTTTCCTGCATATCTCTATTGTTTCATCACCCTAGAGTCATCCTTACTCTCTCTTTACTCCAAATATAATTAGTTACTAGGCCCTTTTAATGATATCTTTACACTATCTCTCCATCTATGTATGACTACAGTCATTTCAGTTTAAGGCTGTTATTCTGTCATGAACTATAGCAAAAGTCTGCTAATATTTCTGAGTCACTACAGTAGTCTCTCAAACCTTTCTTTCAGACTCTTGCAAAAGGATCATACAGAGATAACTCACACCATGTCCCTCTGCTCCAAAATGGAGTCTAATATTATTTCCCACCATTGCCCTTCCTGTACTCTACACTCAGTCAAATTAAATCACCTCTTCTCCTTTAATGCCAAATACTTTTCCAGTTCATGCTTTTGTATCCTTTCTTTCCATTTAATTGCAGGCCTTATCCCACCTATAAGGTCAAAGCCTGGCTCATATAACATATGTCCCTCAGAGAAAGAGAACTCCCAGTTTCCAGGCAATATTTTCTTACCTTCTCTCAGAACGCCTATAACTTTCAACTTGTATTATAATTATAACTCTACTCAGAAATGCAGTGCCACTGGAAAGAATGTGAGGTTAGTATAAGAATTCTAATCCTGCCATTTATTTACTGTGAGATTTGAGCAAATTATTAGTATCATAAAATACTTAAACACATTTTGCTCACTGCCTTTCTGTCTACATATCTTGTTTGCATTTTGATTAATCTTTTTTATCATCACCTCTTGTTTTCCTTTAACAAAGAAAATGCAGAAATTAAAAATTCCTATAGGAACTTCTTTTTCTCAACTCCTAACTCTTGTCTTTACAATATGACTAACTGATTTTTTGTTAATGTCTCATTTCCATATCATTTCCATTTCCATATTTTTTAAAAACTACTTTCTTAAACATTCTGTCTTACCAATTTTAAATTATAATATTTATACTATTTTATGATATTAAGACTGAAGTATTTCCTTATGTAGAAATCGCTGTAATAAGTATTAGAGTTCAAGGCAGCAACTGCTGTACCAGAGGATTCTATGACATGACACTGGATGGGATCTGGGAGATGGCAGCAACTGATTTTCTGAGATCTCTGATCTCAGTGCATGATATTGGAACTGGAGCTTGAAGAAGGGCAGCCAATGAAATAAGGATGCTGGAGTGGGGAGAATGGAAGAGAAGGCATTGCAGGCACAGGGAGAGTCAATTTTAACATTTGAAAAGAACAGAAATTTTTGTAGAGGGCAGAAAATACTTGAATTTGAAAAAAAAAAAAAAAAAACATGGCAAGTGGGTTCCCATGTCAATGAGGTGGAATGAGTTTGAAAATAGCTTACACCTGAATCTATGAAATGGAGAAGAGAGAAAAGATATAGAGGTAAGAGGATAACAGCAACAGCAACTGAACTGCTATGATGTTATGATAGTCTCTGACAAGATACTAAAAATATCTTAAGTATTAAGATCCAAACAGATCTCATCCAAATTAGACGAAAGTTGGCAGAGCAATGGGAAGGAGTACAGGTGAAGACAGCTGTGTGTCAGCAGTCTGGAGCCTCTAAAGACATTTCGAGTAAGTGTGGTATACCAGTTAAAAATATCTACCAAAGCATCCACAAGTCCACTCACCAGAAATGCCTGTCTAATAAATGTACAAGTCTCTCTTCCAATATATATTGTTTCCTGAGATAAAAGGGCGAGTGCTTAATCTCACAAAACTAAGAAGAGAAATATATTTTAAATTTAAGGAAATCTGAGTAAAACTCTGGTAAATCATAATCCTTATAAATAAGAACCAATCATTGCTGAGATAGGTATTGAGCTAAATGCCACTGCAATTTGGTATGGAAGAAAAAGTGACTGTGTAGAAAAAGCTATGATCAAGAAAACAGACTACAGGAAAACAGAAAAGCACATTGGGATAAATAAATATCACTTCAGACATTAAGACTATGAAGCAAAATAAAATAGCATTATATTCAGTTTTTTCTTTTGTAGTTTTTTTCTTAGAGGCGGCCTACTTTCTGTAGTTAGAAAAACCACCTATCTACATTTATATTAGACACCTGATAGGTTTATAATTCTTCACATTCATTAAAACAAATTCACTCCCCAACTGCCCACCCCCAACAAAGATCTCTATTAGAAAAACCTAAGATTTTTATTTACTTACATACAACAGTATTTCCTGGGAAAAAAGTCTGTAATTCCAAACTTAGAATTCAATTCATCTAAATCAGTGATTATATTTAATGTTGGAAAATACATATAAACTCTAGTAAAATAATTGTATTTATTATTCACTGATTTAATATTTCTTATCCCAAGGAAATATTTTCCATTGAAATCATTAACACTTTTCTTCAGATAAGCATATAAAGGTGTCCAGATTGTATAGGAGACTAAATATTTTTTCCCAAAATTGTCGACCAAACTTTTAAGTTGCATTAGAACTTAAATACATATTTCTACCTCCACTTCCACAGTCTTCCTCTACATTGCCTTCCTGTAGACACTGTCATGGCCAAAAGAGATATATAGAAAATGAAGAATTTTTAAAAACTTACTAAAAATAAGATCTGATCTTGGAGAACTAATACTAACTGCCCATATTGGTATAAGCACAGTTTTCCTTGAGAATGGGGGAAAAAAAAGTGGTTCAAATTACCACTTCTTTCTTCATGCAACCAAAGGAAACAACTAGATACAGTGCATGGCTCTAAGTAGGTACTCAAAAACAGTAGTAAGTAGTAGTATTTTGGCTAGTAATTTTTGGTTCTTACAGCCTTAGGTCTTTCATTTCAAACCAGGTACAAGTGGAACTAGGGGTGTTGTAAGACCTCAGGTTGAATTTCCTAACCCCTCTACTAAAACAGGCAGCTAAAAAAATAACTTCCATTTGAGACCCGTGAAAATGACAGTTTCTTCCCCTTCATAAAAAGCAATATATCCCCCTCCTGCCATAAGTCCCACTTCACTAGTAAACACATAAAGTCATTTATGAGTTCTGTAAATTTGTTGAAAAGTCAAGGTTTTGCTGTTCCATGTAGTTTAATTTTCCCAGATGTATTTTGTACATTCATGTCTGAGTACAGGGGAAAGTGTTCTTCTTGGACCTCCCTCTGCTCATTTCTGATCAAATTTCATTAAAAATTATATTCTTCTGGTTGGCATTCCCAAAATGGCCTGCCTGTTTCTGAAAAGAATAAGGTGAGGTTTGGTGTTCCCTAGTTATGCCTTGATTGACACATAGTTCTGTTTTTTCATTCATTTCCTGTTTAACACAGTTGGTGAATGCATAGCAAGGTTTATTGAACTACTTGTGAGTTTTCAATATAATTTCCTTTCAAGAAATATTTCTCCTCAAAATAACTTTTAATATACAGCAGGTATATTTATTCTAAACTATTTTTTTCATTCCTACTCCCAGCATTCATATATCTGCCCAATCCTCAATTACCTGTCACCTCAAACATTCGCTTCTTGAATGAAGTGACAACATTTCCATCCTTCCGCCTGAGTAAGGGGCTGCTTCTCCTCTCTGCCACTTTCTGTTTTAACCTGGACCGCACCTTCAAGTTGGGCTCAGAGGCTGGGGATTGAGACAAAAAAAATAGATAAAAATTAAAAAAATAGAGAGCCAATTGCTCCTGTGTTAAAAAAAAAAAAAAAAAAGTCTCACCCTTTTCTTGGTCCATTCTCATTCTCAAATGAAAAACTCAAGCACATAAATGAGGCATTGACTCTATATTAATGAAACAGGCAAATGTTGCAATTATTTTTATGAAATGTGTGAAAGTTTTTTCAACTTCTCTAAATATGAAAGTAAAAAGTAAACAAAAATATAAATTTTCTACTTCTTTTATCTAGCAGATTTGGGATTGTTAATGGGACGTTTAATTACTAATTGTGTTTGGGTCACAGTAAGATTTATTATACTTCATTGTCAGGCCTTTTAATTCTCTCAAGGGTGAAACTTAATAACCACTAAAACAGTAACTTAATGTGATTTTAGAGACTCTGACCTGGCTTGCAGTAATAAGAAGACACCTCTGCAGCATATAATTTATGTCTAATTCTGACTCCTGAAATATTTCTTTGTCAGTAGTTTCTAACCTAAAACCTTGGGAAAACATACTCTGTGTAATGACACCAAACCAACTAGAATCAATGCAAATAAGACATTCTATACATTCAGTATACTATCAGCTGGAAAGAAAAGGTGGCTAAGTCTTCGAATTGAAGGTTCTGAGTTAGGTTATATATTCCATAATACAAATGCACATTATTCACATGTATGTTACCATTTATTTTGCATTCTAAACAGTGAAACTTATTATAGAGCTTCACTATTTTTAAAATACCACTTATTTTAAAATAATTATACTTTAGAAGAATGGAAACATTGGATTGCATCTCTGTGCGGCAGAAGTGGATGATGATGATGGTGGTGGTAGTAGTGATGGTGGCGATGGTGGTGGTGATGATCATCATGAAAAGGATATTTCTGATAACAATTAACATTTATATAGTCTTTTCTATGTTCCAGTACTATTCTAAATGTTTTATCAATATCAACTTGTTTAACCATAAAAACATCTAGAAAGCCTATGCCTATTTATAATTTGATTAGATCAATGAGGAAACCAAAACACAGAGAGAGGGGATCTTGCCCAAGGTTACAGAGGTAAAAAGGGATGAAGCCAGGCTCTGTACCCAGGAAGTCTGGCATAAGTCTATTCTAAATATTGAAAATGTTGCTGCTCCAGCTTTCCTTATGTATTATCATCATAAAAATTATAAAACAGTTTTTCCCAAACCATCACTAATCATCTAGAGGAGATACAATGTTATAATGTAGCTAGATTTTATCAGTGAAAATATTTTTGAAGGAATTTATATTTTTGCTAGACTGCAAGGGATATCAAAAGTAGAACTTACAATTCTTCTCTACTTTTTTTTTTGTTTTAGTCTTCAAATATCTATAGTTTTTGCTTTAAGCTTGGACGGAGAACTCTTGCATTATACATTTTCTTGGAATTGGCTTGGTGAAATAGGAACTTAACAATGAAGTTCAGATACAAAAAAATAAAGCTAGATACTTTTTTGTGTTGTAAACCTGATTTTATGCCTGAAAATACTGAAAACATAACAAAATCAAAAGCCTGAAAATGCTGTAAAAGCAGGGTGTCAAAAGGTGGGGCAGAGATCAGGGGTGAACACAGGCTCAAAGTGATAGAGATCTGAAATATATCACTTGCTGGGACTCCCACACGGAGGCAAACCAACCAACCAATTTGGGAAAGGATTAGGATTCTTGCCAGACCTTCCAGTAGTGGCAACACACTTCACCTTAGTGTAGGAATCTATCTCAGTTTCTAACTCCCAACTTACCCAGGAATAAAGTGAGATACTGGGACAGTATTAATGTACTTAGATATGTTTCCATGTACACATTTATTTTTAAATTCCTTTAAAAATATTTATCTTGCCTCTGAAAAGTTATAGATGATAAATATATTTATCTAAAACCTAGAAAGGAAAAATAAAGAACCATGAATCCCTAGGTGCTGACTACCTTGGTATCCTCTGTAGCCTTGCTAATAACCATAGGAAATCACAGATTCTCAAAACTTAGATGGAGATATGATTTTATAATGAAACCTGATGGATTCAATGCTGCAAATTGGCAGTCTATAGGGAGTAAATCAATTGATCACTTCAAAAGGCAGTGGGTGGACTAGAAAAGACCATGCATTTTCAGTGAGGGATGGGAATTCAGTCTGCATGGGACCACTTTCCCACTATGAAATTTGCAGTGAGATTCTAGTGCTTTCTAAGCCTGATTCGTCACTTGTGAAACATAGCTTAATGCCTTTCCAATTAGATACCTAAGAATAACTGTGAAGATCTGGGTGAATGTAGAAGGGAAGGGTTTATGAAACATATTATTGGTACTATTTCTGAAGGCTAGTTATACAGCTAAGAGGGGCTGATCCAGAACTGGGCCCCAAATCTCCTGAGTCTCAGTCTTGTACTCCTCTCTCTCCTAATATATTGCATCAGCAGCGGCTGAGTATATCTGCAATCAAGATAAAAATGTGCTGACAGATTGGAAAAATAGCATATGCCATTTAAACATTCTAAACGAAACCTAGAATTTTCCAAGATTTTCAGAAAGAAATTATTTTTAAGGTCAGCAGATAGCTTTCTCTCCTGTTTGTATACTTGAGAATTGGCCAGATATTCAGCTCTCAGATTTCTTTCAATGGTCAACATACAAAAGTAAACACCAGAAGAGGAATGAGAACTGGGTTTTAGTCTTGTATCTACCACTTAATAAAATCAGTAACCTTGAATAATTCATAGTCTTGCTGAACATCAGTTCATTCACACAGACCAACTAAGATGATACCTTCATTTTGCCTGGAGTCAAATAGATGCCTGGATGATTACTTTATATCATTAAACCTCAATTTCTCATGTTAAAATGGGGTGTTGAAGGGATTTTCTTCATTTTTCCCCCCAAAAGATTCAATTTTCCTTCCTTCTCTGAGCCCATGGCGGCTGAATACTGGGGCTGCAACACTCTAGTTCTTCACTGGTTAGATTTCACTTGGGCTTAATCTACTGGCAGGACAGGCTGGTGGCCAAAGAACTAAGGAGGAGGGAGAGGCCAGGCTGTCCCACACTCTCCCTGTCACGATGCTGCATCACTGGCCATGGCTATGTCTCTTCCTGACTTCATCTCCCTCTGGAAGCCCCTATTCCATGGCTCCAGCTCTCCAGCACTCCAGGAACAATTTCCTTCCCTCTCTTCTTTGTGGGAATGACCTCCCACTGTTGCTATTTTCTGGGTACCCCCACTTCCCTAGGCAGTTCATTTAACCTTATTCACTTCCTAGTTAAGTACTCCCTTCATAAAAGTCTATGACCCATACTGCAAAGATCTGTTCCCTGCCAGGATCCTGATTAATATAGTCCTACATATCATTTTTTGTTTTTCTTTGAGATGGAGTCTTGTTCTGTCGCCCAGGCTGGAGTGTAGTGGTGCGATCTTAGTTCACTGCAACCTCTGCCTCCTGGGTTGCAGTGATTCGCCTGCTTCAGTCTCCCAGGTAGCTGGGATTATGGGCATGTGCCACCATGCCTGGCTAATTTTGTATTTTTAGTAGAGACAGGGTTTCACCATGTTGGCCAGGATGGTCTTGAACTCCTGACTTCAGGTGATCCGCTCGCCTCGGTCTCCCAAAGTGCTGGGATTATAGGTGTGAGCCACCGCACCCAGCCAGTCCTACATAACTTGCAGCTACCATTGGATCAAATGAAATAATGTCTAGTAGAGAACAGGCCAGTGGTTCACAACCAGGGAAGATTTCTCCTCCAGGGGACATTTGGCAATATCTGGAGACATTTTTGGCTGTCAGTATGGAGAGCTACAGGCATCTGGTATGGGTACAGGCAGGGGTACTGCCAAACATCCTACAAAGCACAGGACAGCATCCCATGACAAAGTATTATCTTTACCCAAATGTTAATAGTGCCAAGTATGAGAAACCCTGAGACAGGCAATCAATCAATGGCAGCTGTTAATAATTGTACTGCTCTGGGATGATTAAAGAAAATAATATCTGTCAGAGATTCCCAAAGAAGCTGGAGAAGGGTAAGGGAAGAAAAGAAAAGAGAGATTATTAGAAACTGAGAGTACTGTATGTAGCTTGAATATATTAAATATTTCAATACATTTTATACTTGGAAGTTGATTTTAAAATGTTTCCAATAGCACTATATTTCTAAAAATAATAATATGAGGCAACTTTTATCATTAGTTGATGGAGTTATGCAAAAAGGCATAATTCTCAGTTTTAGAAAGGATAACATTTTAGGCATTGTGATTATCTGAGGACATAAGGTTTTGAAAATAAGGAATCTCTGACATACTGTAAAGCACAACATCGATTTATGTTCACAAAATATATACTATACAACTTCTCTAAAGAAAGCCCCTATTTAATGTTTCTAGCAAAACCTTCTGCCTATATTTCAGGTTTTGGATCATGAGAGATATTGAAATCTCAGTAGTGAGGGTGAGAGATGAGATGATAGATAACTATCATTTAGTACTGGCAATGCTCTATAAAACTCACTCCTAACATTTCAGAAGCCCACACACCAAAGCTCAGCATGATATATACCCAAGCAGAAGAATTAATGGCCTAGTGTGCTGACTTGGTTTGCAGTTAGAGTTAATTCTATTTTTAATACTCTGGTCTCCCCAAAGGCTGAAGATTTCCATGCCAGTGACTTACTAATGAGATGCAAATCCTCAGAGCCCAGAAAAAGATCACTAGCTAGGGAGAGGTTCTGCTTGTATATGAATGTATTTCATGCCTAGTTGCACTAATTGCCTTTCCATTTTTACCCCACACCCATCATTCTCTACATCTCAATTAATCACAGAAACAGAAGGCAAGCTTTTTAGTGTGTGTGCTCGTCTGAATACATTTGTCTGCTGAGTTGAAAACTTTGTATAAAAATTGACTATCATTACTTAAGTGAAAAGAATCAATAGTAAAATAAACAGAACAGACA